TTCTCCATAGGCGTTCACATGGCAGCTTTCTTTCTAAAGGCCAGCAGGAGACTCTCTTGCTCCATTCTGCTAGGGAGTGTAATATAATGCGACTGTAATCATGTGAGTGACACATCATCACCTTTGCCATGTTCTATTGCCTAGAAGCAAGTCACAAGTCTTGCCCAGACTCAAGGGAGGAGATTACACATGACATGCCTGAGGGTTTGTTGGGGGGTGTCACTGGAAGGTGTATTTGCTGAAGGAATTTAGAAAAGAGGAATGTCAGAGTGAAGTAGAATCCTCATGGGAGGCTTTACGTACAGGCTTTTAAAGCTAGAGTTTAAAGAATGAGTAGAATTTAGACCAGCAAAGAGTGAATGAGAGGAGACAAGACATCTAGAACCAAAGGACATGAGCAAAGGTGCAGGGAGGGAGTTCTCACCTAAATAATTCCTACACAAAAAGGCCATTGAAACCTGCTGACTTCATACATGACAAAGGGTAGGAGAAACTTTTTTCTTTAACTGAAAGGAAGCTTCGTAATGGAGATAGTCTTGGCCTGGTGTCAAAAGATTTGGGTTCAAGGTTCGGTTGTGCTACTAACTAGCAGTATGATTGGGGCCTGCTGGTTATCTGAGCCTAGCTTCTTGTGAATGCTTCTATCTACATGTTATTGTGAGGACTAAATAAGCTCCTGGATGGGACATGCTCTGCTAACTCTCCAGGTTCTATTTCCAAAAGCAGCTTCACCACCTTCCAAGACCTCCCTCTCTCTGGGTCTCCCAGCTCTCTGACCCCTCTTTCACCTGACCCATTTTCTCTTAAAGTCTCCTCAATGGAGGGAGGGGGCATTCTCTGGGATCTGGCCTTGGCATTCCTGTCATCTCACTACACACTCTGCCTTGGGACTCTCATCTGCCCTGCATATAACCCAGAGCCAATGGCTCTCAGATTCTATGTTCTGGCCCATTCCCCTTTCTCCCATGTGTCTGACCCATTGCTGATTTCGTCTTGGATCTCCTGTAGGACCCTCAAATCCAACATACCCAAAACTGAACTCATTATCCTCTTAGCAAACCTCTTCCTCTTCCTTTCCAGGCCTGGTCTTGGGGAAACCACAGATCAAGTCAGGAATTGTCTGACATTTCTTTCCTCTCCACCCTCATGCCTGAGATCTAAGTGGTGGCTATGTCCTTTCTCTCCAGGAATTCCCCTCCCATCACTACTGCCCTAGTTTGAATCTCATCAATTCTCATCTGAATCACTGCAATTGCTTCTTAACTGGTCTTTCTATCTAATTTTGTTCTCCAAGTTTACTGCAGAATGAACTTTCTGAAGCACAAATTTGATAATACCGCTGTTTTGCTTAAAAGTATTTAGAAGTGCCTAATAGGAATGAAATTCAAACTCCTAGGCATGATATTGAATATCTTCAGATCTGATTCTTGCCCACCTCCCCGTCCACTCCCCTGCCCACTTCCTCCCATTCCTGTTGCTCCAGTCCTACTGAACCACTTGCTATTTTCACCCCACATCACATTGTTCCACATCTCAGTGTGAATACACTGTTCCCCTTGTCAGAAATGCCCTTCTACCACTATCCTTCTCTGCCTTACTAACTCTTCTCATTGATGATTACTCAGCCTAGCTGTTTCACCTTGAAGACCCCTCCTAAGCACACTCTTAGTCACTTATGGAGGCTTCTATCACAGTTCTCATTACTCAGGAGTGCCAAGGTCTGTATTATAATTGCGTTTTTTCCTGCTGACTCTCTTGCTAGATTGTGAGTTCCCAAGACCCGTCACGATGTCTTCTTTTTTAAAAAAGCTTTTACTTTATCTATTTTTAGAAAGAGGGGGAGGGAGAGAGAAAGAGAAGGAGAGAAACATCAATGTGTTGTTGCCCCTTGTGCACCATCTACTGGGGATCTGGCCCACAACCCAGGCATGTGCCCTGACTGGGAATGGAACTGTTGACCCTTTGGTTCCCAGTCCAGCATTCAGCCCACTGAGCCACACCAGCCAGGGCTTACTTTCTGACATAGACACTCTGATCACCTTTTCTTCCAATCTGATCCTTTCTAAATGCTTTTATATATTTTATTTTTTGAATAGGCAACATATTCATCTGTCCAAACATTCAGAAATTACAAAAAATCTCCCTTCCACTTCATCCCATTTTCTGCTGTCCAGTTCTCTACCCCAGAGACAAAGTTACCAGTTTCTTGTTAATATTTCCACAGACACAAACATAACTATGGTCCCCCTTTCATACAAAGACAGTACCGTGTCCTACAGATTGTGCTGCACTTCCTTGTCACTTAATTACATACAGTATCCTTGTGGCCATTCCATTTCAGTACATAAACAGCTTCTTTATTCTTTATTTAGTTATTCCGTTTTTGTTGGGGATGTATCATAATTTAACCAATGAACATTGGTTCCTTCCAATCTTCTGTGAATACAAACAATACTGCAATTACTAACTTCACAAAAAGGTCATCTCGCACATGTGCAAGTGTGAGAGTAGGATGAACTCCTGAAAGTGGAACCCCTAGATTGAGAAGTATATGAATTCACTTACTGAATTTTTCAGACTGTAAGACACACCTAGGTTTTAGAGGAGGAAATTAGGGAAAAAAATTTTGAAGCAAAAAATGCGGTAAATATTTATAACATAAATAACATGGGCCGCCCCTGTGCCCCCACAGTGAGCCAGGTAAGCTGTGTTTGGACTATAAGACACACCCCCATTTTCCTCCCAAATTTGGGGGGGGGAGTGCTATAAGCCCAAAAAATACATTAAGTGTCACCATGTCACATTGCCCTTCTTGGAGTACGTAGATATCATCTTACTGATGTTTGAATCCCTAGATACTATTGGAAACCCTAAAACAGAGCAGGCATTCAGTACATTTTTGTCAAATACACAAATTTTAGTGGAAGCTCATTTTTTCCTTTTTCTGATGTTGTGCTTTAGTGGGTAAGTTCAAACCAAATGATTCATGTTCAACCAAAATGTCATTATTTTGGAGCACAATTCTTATTCCAACTTTTATTAATTCCCATATTTGTGGATTAATCAAAATCCTTCATTAGGTTGGTTATAAGGTCACATTAATTTTTATATTCTTTTTTAAAAATTTTATTTTTAAAGAGAGGGGAAGGGAGGGAGAAAGAGTGGGAGAGAAACATCAATGAGTGGTTGCCTCTCGTGTAGCCCCCACGGGGGGACCTGGCCCACAACTCAGGCATGTGCCCTGACTGGGAATGGAGCCAGTGACCCTTTGATTTGCAGTCCATGCTCAATCCACTGAGCAATTTTTATGTTCTAATATAATAACATTGAGTCCTCATCCCTCATTTTGTGAAATGCCTTAATTATTCTACTGTTTGTTGTTTTTTTTTCCCCTTTCCCTGAGCAATTCCTGAAAATCCTTCCATAGTTCACAAATTCTTTTCAGGGGGGCTTCTTGTTGTTTTTGTAAGTCATGAGACCTCTGTAAGTTAACTTTTACTGTCTTTTAACTTTGTATCCCTGTTGCTTCTTCTCGATTCATTGCTTATTGGCTGTGTGACCTCCCTATGCTTATCTATACATTTGTAAAATAGGGATGTTATTGGGTTGTGAGGATTAAATGAGATTACATATGTCAAAGGCTTAGTATAGTGTTTGGCACATGGTAATAATGAGGCAGATGGTCCTTCAAGGGTCTTTCATGCTTCTACCTATCTTCCTGGGAATGCCAAGAATTCAAGGCTTCTCTTTTCTAGGGTCATTGCTTAGGGTTGTGTTTATAGTGAGCAACTGAGGATGAAGTAATGTCTTCCTCCAGGGCAAAGAACAGGTTTGCTTACTTCATCCTATAAAAGGGCAGGCTCCCAAAGTTCAGTGTTCCTTAGCCATGACGCAAATCTACTAAGGGCAAAGCATTTATCTGAGCCCTTTGTGTCATCCCTGTGAAACTTTAGGGGCAAGAGGAATTGACACAAACATTCTGAAGGTTATGTTGCTTCTGGTGTTATGAGTCCTTTGTCTCTGCCCCAAGATTCTTGTGTCTTTTATCAACACCCATGAAACAGTAACAGACTAGTTTATTGGACTGCCACTAGGGTAAAATCAAATACCAGTCTTGAGTATTAATCCTTAAGATATTTACATTATTTTTGCACTTGCTCTTGCACTTCTTACTTGCTTTTCCCAGGCATTTTGGGCAGTATCTGTTAAGTTTGTGTTTGAGTAAGTAGTGAAAATACATGAATTGCTGCCATTTCCAAGTTATTCTACTATGGTGTTGGGGAAAACAAAATGAATTAGAAATAAAGGTAACTTCAAAAATCATTGCTCAAATGAAATTATATGGCTATTCTAATACCTAGTTTTAAATCACTGAGATCATAGGTCTTCTATATATCTTTTTTGTATATTTGGGGCATAGTTTTTATGTAGTTGCAATACAGGAAAAGAAAGTTGCACAAACATAACTGGTCCTTAGTTCCTGTTACGTAATAACTGGATGACTTTGGGCATTCTAAGGTTCAGTTTCCTAATGTAAGAATTAGAGAAACTAATTCGTGATCCAGTAGTCTCACGAGATTGATGGGGCCATGAAATAAAATAATGTATGTGAACAAGGTACTGAGCAAATCATTCGTTATAATTTACAATTGTACTGAATCACAGATGTTCACCTGTCCTAATATTATTGTTTTAGAGGCTATAAAATAAGGGGGGTGGGAAGGTGCACCACATCAACCGCTAAATCAGTCTGCCACACTCTCACCACCCAACAAATTGAACACCTAAGAATTTAAACGACAAACTACAACTTCCAGCAGGCGTTGCTCCAGAACCGCGTCAGGAAACCTCAGCTCCGCTGGCCCTGCACCCACCCGGCCCCCACGGTCCACGACTACATCTCCCAGGAGGCCCCACAGTGCACCGTCCACTTTCCCTCCGCCCCCTGCCTTCCCTTTACCCCTGCCGGCAGCTCCCCGGCCCACTCGCGGACCCAGCGGCCGGCGGAGCGTGAGCTGCCGAGAAGGGCCAGAGCGCACGAGGGGGGGGGGCAGTGGAGGCGTAGGGGGGCGGGGACACAGCTCGCCTGTTCCAAGATGGCGGACGAGGACGGGGAAGGGATTCACCCCTCAGCCCCTCACAGGAACGGAGGTGGCGGTGGTGGTGGGGGCTCTGGGCTCCACTGCGCCGGGAACGGTGGAGGAGGCGGTGGCCCACGGGTGGTGCGCATCGTCAAGTCCGAGTCCGGCTACGGCTTCAACGTGCGGGGCCAAGTGAGCGAGGGCGGGCAGCTGCGGAGCATCAACGGGGAGCTGTACGCGCCGCTGCAGCATGTGAGCGCTGTGCTGCCCGGGGGGGCGGCCGATCGCGCCGGGGTGCGCAAGGGGGACCGCATTCTGGAAGTGTGAGTATCCGGGGCTGCCCGCCGCCCCACCCCACCCGGTCCTGTCCCCTCTGCTTGTCCGCGCACGTCCCCTCTACCCCTGTCACCCTCAGGCCGCACCTCCCCCAACCCTGAACCTGCCCTCGGGACCCCGGCTGCCTCAGGCCTTGCACCGCCTGGGGCTGACCCTTTCACCTCCCACACCCCGGCCCTCCGCACCTCCCACCTCGCTCCCGTCAGTCTTCAGTGGTGTCTCTCTCTGCGCCCCTACTGCTGTTACCCCCGCCCGCAGTCCTTTGGCGTCTTTTCTACCCCTTTGCCTCCCCCTTGGGCATTTGGCTTACCGCTCCTCGCCGCCCCTCGCTTTGCTCTAGATAAACCTTCCGCTGCCCACTGACAGCACCTCCTTCCGACCCGTCCCCGTGTGTCATCCCCAAGTCCTCATCTGCAGCAGCAGAGTTGTTCCCCACCACCCCTTCAGCCCCTGGGGACCGTCCTCTACGCGCTGGCCCGAGTAGGCAGAACCTCCGGTGGTCTCCTGCTTTCCCTCCGGAAACCTCCACACTGCACTCCTTTTCTTTCCCTAGTTACCCTCTCCTTACGGTTAAGCACCCCCTATACATTTTTCTGTCCTTCAGCGTGCCCCTTTCCTCCCTCCCTTTTTGTATTCATTCTGCTAGTATACCTTCTTTGCAGACTCTTGCGGGGGTTTTTTGTTTTGTTTTGTTTTGTTTTGGTGGCGGCGGTGGTGGCGGTGGTGGTGGTGGTGGGGTCTTTGACACTGTAGTTTGTCTTCACAGTAGTCTCCATATTACACCATGATGTTGGATCTAGTGTCTTCATCACACCCCTCCGAGAGCATCCCTCTTGTCCCCTGTGTTCACTCCTGCGCCACACGCATACTTTTGTTTCAGTCTACAATTACAATCCCCGTTTGGGTCTTTGACCTCCCCACGTTTTTGGGCGTGCTGTTGCCATTCCATGTCCTACTCTATCCTCTTGTGGTCCCACGCCTGACTTTTATCCTGTTCTTTCTCGCCTCTGGGTAGCTTTTTCTTCCTGCCCGTCTTAGCTTCCTTCTGCTGCTATAATCCATCCTCTTGTCTACTCAGTCCCTACCCCTGTGTGCTCCTTCATCCTTACTTGCCCACTGCATCCCTTAACGCTGGGGCAAGATGCTGCCTTGTCTCTGGTTTCTGTGCAGACCTTCTCCACAACCTTCATCCAGGAGCTACATTTGTGTTTTTGTACATCGTATTAAAATGTACATAGTGACTGCTGGTTGGCTGGTAGGTGGTGTATGCTCTCATCATCTTCCTCTCAGTAGTCTTCAGTGTCACATCTCTCTCCTTACTGAACCTATCTTGTGTATTCTTTCTCACTCTTCTGCCCTCTTCCTCAGTGCTCTCCTGAAGTCCTCCTCATTTTCTGTAAATGTTATTTTAATTATGATTTTCACAACCTGTAGACTTTCCTCTAGTAAAACAGCAGGTTTGCTCGAGGTTTCAAGGAGAATAGGATCTTGAAGATGAGCATATGGAAGAGCTCATACTTTCTTACTCACCTATGCCCCCTCCTGCCCTTATCCTTGACGATCTTATTCTGTGGTATCCACTCACTCTATTTCCTCTTACGTTCCACCTCAAAAAAGAGTAGCTCACAAAAGCAAGTGTTTGGAGTTTTAGTCTAACTTTCCTCTATCCTCCTGTAAATAGATGCTTTCTCTTTCTCTTAATGTCCTACTTTAATAGAATGTTCTTAATCTTTTGGTGGTAAGGGCATTCAGATATAGAGTACAATAGTGACCTTTTGCTTTGTACTGGGGCATCTAATTCTTTTCTTTCTAAATAACTCAAATTCTATGGCTGATACTTTCTTCTGATAGAATCACTTGGAACTGTCATTTTCCTTTCCTTTTGAGAGTTAACTTTGGATCCAGCTTTTTATTTTTATTGCCCTGGCTGGTGTTGCTCACTTGGTTAGAGTGTTGTCCTGTAAACTGAAAGGCTGCAGGTTCAATCCCTGGTCAAGGCATATGTCTAGGTTGTGGGTTCAGTCCCTGATCCAGGAGCGTGTGATAGGCAAGTGATCGAAGTTTCTCTCTGACATCGATGTTTCTTTCCCTCCCTCTCCCTCTCTAAAATGAATAAGCATGTCCTTAGGTGAGAATAAAAATAAAATATTTATTTAAAATATAAAATTACTACACTTTGCAGGGGCTAAAGGAACTAAACTAAAACAATTTTGTAGACGACTACAGCTAACGTGATTGATAATTTCATTCATATATATATATATATAATATATCTATATCAACTAACATAGTTGCTGGCTTCTTGCCTTTATTGTGGTTTTTGCAGCAGAGTCCAGATGTACACTAGGTGCTGTAAAGGGCTTGCTCAGATAACCCTCTAAGACAGGGCTTGCTCAGGCCCAGGTTCCAGCCTAGGTCTGTTCCTTTTCACAGGGAAAAACATTGCATTTTGACACATCCTTGGTGGCGAGTAGAGAACTTTGTTTCTTTTATTGGGCAGGGCAAAAGAGAGCACTTTTTGCTTCTTTCTGTGGGAGGTCGTAATGATCTTCTTGACATTGGTTACTCACCTTCCAACTGTATTTTGATTTCTAAAACTTTGAAGTTTCTCTGCTACTGTAGTGGAAATAGTGAGAGTTGCAATACAAAACCAAGCTAGTTGTTGAATTCCCTGAGACCTCAACTACTGTTGACCCCGAACATCAGGGTTTGAACTGCATAGGTCCATTTATATGCAATAAGTACTTGTACTGTTTTCATTCTGCCATTGGGATCTGCAGATGTGGAGGGCCGACTGCATTCATTGACCCGCACTATTTTATACAGGGGACTTGAGCATCCTCAGATTTTAACATCTGTGCGGGGAGGAGGGTTCTGGAACCAAACTCCCAAGGATGCTGAGGGAAAACTTAAGTTCTTGGCAAGTTGAAAGTTAAATGTGGATTTTCGAATACTCAGAGGTCGGTTCCCTTACCCTCTACCTTCAGGGGTCAGCTGCATACAGTTTCTTTCCTTCCCTTCTTCCAAACAAAGTCTGCATCTTTTCCTTAGGTTTTCAAGTGAGAGAAGGAAATCAGCAAGCAAACAGACATGGTTGATTCTTCAGGGATATCTGTGTCCGCTACTTGTTGATCTTGGTGAGGTTGATACTAATTTTCCTAAAGCATTCTTTAGGCAGCATTCCTTAGAGCTTTTTTCTCTCTCACCCAAGTTCCTTAAATTAACCTCTTTTGTCCCAGGAAAGTTCTCTAAGTTGATTAAGTGCTAAGTGGGGTCAGGGTTTGGCATAGTTAGATTATTGTTATGTAGATGTAGTTTGTATGAAGTCAAAGGTATGGACCTTGATAATTGCCTTTTTAACCAAGACTCTTTCCTATTTTGGATGTTTTCCTCCTGTGCACAAATAATTTTATTCCAATTTTTCATATATTGCAGTTGTTTGGACAACTGTAGAGGTGTGAAAAAGCAGAGTAACTTGAGATTTAAGACAATACAAGCTTAGGCAAAAGGAAGAGCATCAATTTCTTTGTATTTCAAAGTCTTTACCAAGGTCCTGTCCTCATTGATTCTTGGAACAGTTGTTAAACTAAATTCAGTATGGTTCGGTTTGTCCTTTCTCCCTTCCAAACTGACTAGATACCGACTCGTTTGGGAAAGAGTCATGTTGGAGGGCTTGGTACTGGAGTAAGAACAGGCGCCCTGGGCACTAAATTTACTGCACATGGAATGTTTCTTGACTAGCAATGTTAGTTTCCACCTTGTAATTCTCCCCAGTGTAACATATATTGAGTGTCTTCCTTTTGATGTGTATGTACCTGGAGGCTAATGAGTGAAGGATGCTTTTAACAAATAGAACCAAAATAAGTATATCTTTGCACTAATTATATAGTATGTGAAGTAACATTTAACTTCAGGTTAATTTTCCTAAGGTTAAAGCAGTTCCAAGGGCTCTTGACTGATTTCTAGAGTGATGCCCTTAGGAGGGTTTAAGTATGCAGTGGTTATGGATATGGTACTGTATATTTTTGAGGGATTAGATTTGTCTGTTGGCTGGTTTATTTGTCTCTTTGGCATTGGGGTATTGTGGTCTTTCATAAGCATGGACTCCTAAGATTGGCTTGCAACCATTCAAAATTATGATACTATATTTATGCTAGTCAGAGAGTCTATGTCTTTTTTTCTCTATATCCATCAACTTTACCTTGTTAAAATTAAACCATAAGAAAAACTAAAGTCATACATATGTAAATAAATTTGTTTATTGAGTTTTTTAAAAATTAAATTTATTGGGGTGGCACTGGTTAATAACTTGTAAGTTTCAGGTGTACAATTTTATAATACAACATCTGATTATTGCATTGTGTGTTCACCACCCAAAGTTTAGTCTCCTATCACCATGTATTTGACTATTGAAAGTTAATTTTAATAACTTACAGATATCTCATGGGCATTCTTTTTTTCTTCCTTTATGTGAAGCTTGAAAATGATTGAATAAAAAGAGGTTGCTGCCATAAGAAGTATTTTCACGAGTTAAGTGTGATTCATGTAACATTGACTGCTAAGTACTTTCTGAAGAGCTACTTTCTTAATTGTAACAGAATTCTATTCTATTTGGCTCAGATTTTCTAGGTAGTTTTTGGAAATGGTTTGAAATCATGGTTTTTGATCAAGGAATTTGTATGATCAAGAATTTAAGTCACTTAAAATTCTTAAAATTCAGTCACATCTCTGTTAGCTTGGATAGCAGTTGAGCTTTGGTTCTGTTACTGTGAAGTGTAATCGTCTTACATCTTTACTTACCCTGTCTCTTCTATTGTTAAATTAAGTGGGTGATAGGGAACCAAAGCAGTCATTCTTTGCCCTTACTTGTTGCTATCTTTAATCTATTGGTTATTGGCAAAGAGAGCATGACAATCATAATTGTAACCCAAAGAAAATCTTTTAATTCCATAGGTAGTTGTGGTGGCAAACAAATAAAACTAAATTT